AGCCGTATGAAACCGGCTAAATAAACGCTTATTCCCGGTTTTTCTGCATGTATTTTTCGTTAAAAAATTACTAACTTCTTCAGTGGGTGCCAATAAAAGTTTGCTTAAAAATATTTTCAATTATTTTTATTATTATTTAATTATTTCAACTTATGTTCAATTTCTTATGAATATTTATTCACACGCTGAAGTATTTTCTTCTACTTTAAGCATGACAGGATGTACTCTTTTAATTGTTTATTGCAGAGTGACATTTGAAAGCAGTAGGACTTGACATTCCTCATTATCCATGAGGCTGTTCAGGTCAGACTCCAAGGCAGAAATAACCTCTCTTTCCTCTCTTTTTTTAATATTTGATACCTTTAGTGTTTCCCAAGCGTTGGTAGGAGTGTTTATTGACTGTTTTCCAGATCCCTTTCAAAAATAATAATCCCAACTATTTTAAGAAACCTAATAACATTAAGAACCAAAATTCCATTCAGAATGGTAAATATTCCAGGGCAAATGCCAGTGAAACAGTTCAGATATCCTTGAAAACAAACCTGATTGTGAAAATATTGCATAAGATGTGCAGCCAAACTGGATCATCTGAAAACAAGGATTCTCATAGTAAACTCCACTCTCCACTTCCATTCCAGGTTTCATCCCAGAGAAGCCTGTCCTCACTCCTGTATGAATGTTCCAGGTTTCTTTCATTTTCCATTCTTACTGAGAGAATTGTCAGCATGGACACCGTGGATTTTGAGGAAGCAGCAGCTTTCCCTGCCCAGCATTCCCATGCTTCAGGCAGCAAGAAAGAGGAACTCCCTGAATCTCCTTGGACTCACTGAGGCAGAACTGGAGGAACAGTTTGTGAGAGGTGATGGCCCAGGGGGTCAAGCCACAAATAAGACAAACAACTGTGTTGTCCTGAAGCATATTCCATCTGGGCTTGTAGTGAAGGTAATTATGTTCTATTTTGTTAAGGCACAAATTGCATCACAACTTCCAGGCCTCCTTTCAGAGTAAAGCACAATCACAGTGTACGTGGCACGAGGAAAAGTTTATATTTATGGTAAAGAATCTCAGCAAGAAGCACCTCTGGCTGTCAGCAGATAAATAAACTGGGGTCAGAGCTGATCTTCCTGGCTTTGCCATGAATTTACTGGTTTGTAGTTTTCAGGTAAATGAATCTTCATTGTAGCTGTCACATTCCTGTCCCCCATGGGAGTGAGAATCTCTCCTTTAACAAGTTGCTCACACTCTGCAGATCCTTTTTAAGCATTTCCCTTACCTACTTCCTGTGAATTAATACCTTGAAATTAATCTTTGCTTCCTGTCACAAGGGGAAGACACAGTTCAGTTAAACTCAAGCAGCTTTCCAAGGTAATATGGAAGCATTAAAGATTAATGCAAAAGCCAGTCTGACAAGTGCAGTAGCAATAATTATTAAAATATATCATCTGGATATAAAAGTTCCAGCTGTTATTGGTAGGAGGATGCTCTTGGCTTCAGGAGAAGGGGAGTTTCTTTGCTGTAATGGCAGGAATATACAGACTGAGAGGGAAAGCAGAAGAATAAACAGGTTAAAGTTCCAGTAAAAACATCCTGTTGTATTTCTTTAGTGTCATCAAACAAGATCAGTGGAGAAGAACAGAAAGATTGCCAGAGAAATCCTGCAGGAAAAAGTTGATCTTTTCTACAAAGGTGAAGAGAGTGATGTTTATAAAGAGAAAAAAGCATCAGAGAAGAAGAAGCAGGAGAAAAAAAGAAGAGCAAAGGAAAACCTGGAAAGGAAAAAGCTTTTTAAAGAGGTGCAACAACTGGATAAGAAATGAACATGTGAAATACTGACTTGCCCTAGTGGGGTAAGGGAAATGTGTCATTAGACCTGAACACACCTTTCAGACTAACACGATGTGGGGCTTCAGAGGCACAGCTGAAACCCCCAGTGCTGACCTGCTGTTGCTGTCAAGGGATAAAAGCACTCAGGTATTCCTGCTTCTGTCTGCCATCATCTCATTAATCATGCTCAGCAATCAGTTGTTCTGCCAAGTTCAGAAGATAAAAGAATCCTTGTTAAAAAGGAACTATAAACTTTCCACTGTTGTTAAGGGAGACAAAAAAGAATTCAGTAGATTTCCTTCTGCCCAGGTGACACCTTGGGATGCTTTGTAGGGGCTCCAGCACACGAGGGAAACAGCACTAAAAGGTTCTCACTTCCCATCCTTACTCAGGCAATGCCTTCAGTGACATAAATCCTTTCTAAACCAGGTTTAGGTGCTGGTTGTGCTGGTGTGAACTGACCTGCTGATGGAAGAGACACCAGTCACTGGCTGCCTCCTCCAGAGGTGTCAGCTGAACAAATGCTCTGTCCTGCTCAGCTCTGAGCAAAGTTTGAACAGCAGCTTTACAGACCTTACCTGCAGTGGTGCTGAGCACTGGGTGCAGGAAGGAGGGTCTCTCCTCAAGTGAGGGCTGGGCAGTCATTTCTTCCAGTTCAGAGGTAAAACTGGGTCATTACAGATAAGGAACAATGTTTTTGGAAGCTGCCTCCCAAGGCAACAGAGTCCAGTTCATCCAAGCTGTGAATTAATTAACTCTTTTTTAAGTTTGCCTCTTAATACTGTATTTTGTTCAGGTATCCATAGGTCTGTATGTATTAGCCATCCCATTTTCTTTAGGATTTAGATTTTTTTTTCATTTTATAATAGTGAATTAGTCATTTATTATGTTTATGCCATGCTGCAGTTGAATTTGGGCATGTTGGTATCTTCACTCAAAATGAGTGAAGATACCAACAAACAAATGCAGCTGCATTTCCTTTCTCACCTACTCTGAAGTCACTGCTGAGGTGCAATTTCCTGGTTTTACCCTGTTAACAACTCCCACCTGCTTAACCAGAACTTCTCATTCATTTTTGGGCAGCACCCTCACCAGCTGCCACCAAGTTTTGGCCTTCACCAAAGACCCAAAGCCAGAGTATGGATTTTGAAAACAGAGACCTTGAACTCCACCTCCTTTTCCCAGAGACTGACTGCATCCCAACGGTGCCATGGATGGAAACTCAGCAGCAAACTGCAGCCCCTTCCCTTGTCCTTTCCTGAACTCCTGCATGAAGGTTCAATTTTTACCTGTTTGACAGCTCTTGTTTGTGGAGTGTGAATCTGATTAAAGTGACTGTACATAGTTTTAATACAAACTGTTAATGAAAATAAGCTTTATTACGTCAAGTAATAAATACATACAAAGATGCAAATAACAGTTTTAGTAATTTATCCAGAATTTTCCTTTTTTTTTTTTTTGGCAAACTTTAAACTGAAATCTCCAGCCTTAATGTAGGAATTAGCTTTCCAGGACCTTGTTATTATTTAATAGGTTTCCCTATTTTCCATATAGCTCATGCACTTTAAATGGACTTCAAAGCACTAACAGTCATGCAAATGTTTATGCAAAATGAACAAAAAAAGGAAAAATAAGAGAAGGGGGAGGTTATTTCTAAGCAGGGTCTATGCTGTATGACAAATTGTGACTTAGCAGACTACTAGGTACAGCATGCTATTCTGCATTTATTAAAAAAATCCTTAGAGCTTATGTCAAACTTTGAAAGATTGACAGTTTGGGGATAAGTGAATATAGTTGAAGGAAAAAACAGAATGAGGCTGTGGCTGGGTAAGAAGAGAACTGAAATATAGCCTGGGAGAGAGAGAGCATTCCTCTGCATGCACTTCAGTTTCCATGTTTTAGAAACATTTTAGGGAGTTTTAACGTCTTTACAAAATGCAAACCCTCAGTAAGTTGAAAAATCCTTGGTTGGTTTTTTCTTTTTTTCATTCTTAACTATACATTTTTGCAAGGGCAAAACAAGAAAGGTAAAACATTCAAAATAAAGGAATTTGTCTGAATGTTTCAAGAGTCAAAAGGAATAAGTGTTACTTTTTCTTCATGAAGAGATGGAAAATCTTGCAGCTGAATTAGTGGGCTAAGATCGTGCGTTTCGTTCCGTCTCAGCCAGGCATTCCCGAACTAATCCTCTGGCATGAATAATGCCTGCAAAAGAATTGGACATGTTTTAAATCATCCCATTCAGGTCACACTTGCAATGGCAGCCCACAGGAAGGTTTATGTATTTCTGTCCCAAGTTGCCAAGGCTACCAGAGCAGGCCTCAGAAAAGGGAGGCAGCCCTCGTGCCCCAAACATCAGCTGCTCCTGAACAAGTTTGCTCTCCCAAACTCGCATCATAAATTGAAAAGGGACTAAAGCAGAGCACAGTAAGATTTATAGGTCTGCAGTGACAGGCAGATCTTCATGTGCAGTGTGGACCTACTTAAAATCAAAGACTTAAAGGAAAAAAAAAAATCTTGCCTACCAGTGAGTTATTTTGCTACAGTGGAGTGACACAAATTACAAAGTTATTTGGGGAGTCATTGTAGCAAGCTCTGAAAGTCTTAGTCCCTTGGGATAATTCTCCTTGAGGATGCATCAAAATCCAAGCATCATAATGCTGCTTAAAGACAAGTTGTGTCTCTTGTAAAAATAAGAGATTTTTTTTTTATGGTGTGTGCAAAAAGTTACCTCCTAACACTGGCTCAGCTCCCAATGGAAATCATCACCACTTTACATCTACTCTCATCTGAGAGACAGAATGTGGAATTTTCCACTACAAGTCCTGTTGCCTTGAAGTTCCAGCAATCTGGACCTTGATTCTGGAACTAAATGTAGATTTGTGTTCACAGAGCTGCTGAAAGAACAGAGCTTGAGATAGATTTTAAAATGGGAGATGGACAGATTTTTCTACAACAAAGGAGGTTCTGTTTTGCTGACAGGGTAGGATAGAAGGTGATTTCTCTGCTCAGTCATGCTCCTTAACAAGGTGGAGAAAGGGCAGTGGGGCAATAGATGGGGGTTAGTCTCTAGAGACAATGGCTTCTGTTTCTAGAAGGCTGCTAGCCCAGGTCACAGCAACTGCCTTTCCATCCAAGGAGGACTGACCTGGGACATGATGAGTGCAGGGCTTTGCAGAGGGTTAAACTGCCACAGAGGAGTAAAGCTGCAGCTGTGGGATCCAGAAACTCCTACTCACAGCAGTGTGTCAGACCTGGATGTGGTGGCAGGACGCCCAGTTTATGCAGCAGAACTACTCTGAATAATGTAGAACACTGGGACTTTGGCCAATTTTAGAGGTCAGTAGGAGCGGGTGGAGCTGGGGACAGGGACTTTATTCAGGAATAACCTCCATGGCCATGGAGGCAGCAGTCACGTGGTTCCCCTCAGTCACTTTTGCTCTCACACTTGCACATGCTCCTTCAGCCATCAGGCTCCCAAAATGGAAAGAGAGGTACGTTTGTGACCAAAAGATGGCAGCAAAAAGTATTTATTTGGGATTCTTTGCAACACAGGCAAGTCACAGTGGCAGCACTGAATCTTAAACCTACATTAACCAACAAATTAAATACTCGCTTTAGAAGCAGCAAAACAACTTTTCCTCCCCAAACTGAACCATCCAGCTCAGAGAAGGTCTGCATCTCCCCTGGTCTCTCTCAAGCTGTCCCCATTAGCCTATTGCCATTCATGATCTATTAATACTGACTCAGGCAATGCAATAAAGAGAGACTCCAGCAACATTGATTTTAGCTGGGCCAGATTCCACTTACCACTCATCAGCAGACTTTATTGCATCCTTTCCCAGAACAGCTACTAGTCATTTTATTGCATGTCACGGCAGATATATTACTCTCCCATAATGGTTGAGCCTTAAATAAAGCTTTGTAGTCTTGGGTAAATGTAAAGGATTTGCAAGGTGGTGAAGTTACTCTGTTACAATAACATTCCCATTCCGGGTCAAATGCATGAGCCAATCTCAGCACAAGGACCACGGGAAGGGAGGAAAAGGTAACCATGTTACACTGGCAAAGATCTGAACTGGCAGCACAACTGTTGTCCATGGCCTTTCAGGGTCATTTCAGGAGCTGGAGCACTGGAATGTCCCACTGCTCCTTCAGAAATATCCCTGCACGTCCCCTGCAGAGGACAATGTCAGGCTGATGTCACCAGTGGGGCATGCAGGGGTTTCTTTTACACTGCAAGGAAAGGGCATTTATTACCCCTTTTAGCTGACAAAGCAAAGCCACAGAGACTCATCAGCCAGCCCTAAAAGCTTCTCTGGCCCTTTCTAGTGGACTCTTAATGACACCACAATCACTGACAGCAGGTAACAGAACGTTTATGTTTGACATCTCAGTCTGAACAGCCTTCCCTGACACCTTCTCTCCACCAGCCCCAGCGTGAATTTCCACAATGTTGTACTTCTTTAGGCAAAATGCACTTCAGTGAAGATTCCTGGGCCAAGTAGGTGGGAGATGTGTATGAGAAGAAGTAAACAATGCTTGGCTGTGTATTTTGGAGACTGGGGAGAAAAGGGAATTGAAGGGGCAAGTAAGGGGACCCTGAAAGAATGTATCCATTAAGGGTTCCACAACAGGAGTCGAGTTATTAACTGGAACTCTCTGTGTGCACATGAAACACATTTTGTCACTGTTTATCTATCAAATACAGCACAGACAGAGCATCCCAAGGTTTCAGCTGCAGGTTAATACTTCCAGTTCCATGAGGAGCTCAGGCTGTCTCCTTTCAAAGGACACAGTTGTCATGCAGTTGGACACAAGCAGTCAGTGCACAAAGTGTAGAGGACACGATTATTGTTTTAAAATAAGCTTAAAAGTTACCTCTTTTTAGCCTCTCCATCGCACTTTTACTCCCAGCATATGTGGGTCTAATCTCTTTTCCTAATTCTTCTATGATAGCTAGAAGTTCTGCATATTTGCTCTGTGGTACTTGACTGCTGCTGGTACCCTGTGGTTGAAAGTAGATTAATCTCAATCAAATACTGTAAAAACAAAACAATTACAACAAACAGCAACCGTTAACCCTGTTCCTGCTTTTTCAGTGTTGAGATGTATATTTTGGGGAGAAGTTAGCTGGGCAGGGAGAGTGAGAAGAAAACTGTACAGAAATATTCATTTTTTAACAAATAACTTTAAAATATGTTAGAGCCCTTACTAACATAATTCAAGACATGTTTCTCTGTGACTCACACAGGATGGGACTAACAGTTAATTAGTAACAACCTCCCTCAGCACTCTGCTTAGTCTAATTTGATCCCCAGACATGTGTGAGGAAGCAGTCCTGCCATTTGGGTTTGATTTCAAACCTTGGTGGGAGGGAGGAACACCTCAGATTACAGGCCACAATCCGTGCTACTGTGCAAACGTGGGGTCAGTGATCTGATTAAAGGAAAATAAGCAGAGCTATACCTGCATCCCTTGTGTATAGCCTAGAGATGGGGGTCCATAGTCATTTATGAGCTGTCTGTATTGTGCAGACGTTGCCATACTTGTGGAGGGAGAGTGAACACTCCCAGCTGTAGAGAGAAAAGAGAGAAAAAAAATCTATTATTATCTAAAGATCAATTAGTCTGCTACATTGGGACACGTTTTAATCACTTGTTTCTAAAGCTGTGACCTCTCACCTTTGTCTGGGATCACTAATGACATTTCTGAGTGTCACTGCAAGGAAAAGAATGGTTAAATTAATGCCTCTCTAATGTTTGCTGCACACTGGGAAATGACACAGCCTGCAACAGTATCAGTGCAAACTGTTTGCCTAAAAGTGAAGCCGAGTGTAGCATGACAGGTTGTTCTGCCCAGACAAACTGTAAATATTAAGGAGCCCTATTTTTGCATATATACATTCCACACAGATGAGTCTGATGTACTGGGCTATTTTTACTTTTTCAGTGCAAGTTATCTGAAAGTAATTTTGCAACTCAAAGTGTCATTACATGGTCAAAGCAAGTTACCCTCAGTACTATTTTCAGCCAATGCCAAAACCATTCCTAGGGAACAGTGAGTTGAGGTGGATCAGATCTGCTGCTCATTGTGTGACACCAGAGCCCAGCAGTGCTGCCATTATTCCTCTTTGTGTGATATCAAACGTTTTTAGCCAGTCAAATTGTGCTATATAAGCAAATCAAAGGAAAAACAACATCACTTCGGGTTACTTTTTCTAAAGTTATAAAACATTATATTCACATCTAACGAGTTTTGAATCCAGAGTTCCAGAAACTGACTCGTGTTCATTGACAAACCGCTTCAGAAACAAAACACTTCCTCCCCCTTGCCCTGCAGGGGGAAAAATTTGGGTCTGAGAAACAACTTCTAGGTTTTTCTTAGGGGGCTTAATTATGCTGCCCATATCACAACTGTGCTGGAGGGCCTGCTGGTCCTGGACTTACACTCAGGAGCAAGGGAGCACCACAGCACTGAACTTCTTCACTCCTGCAGCTCCCGTGCCCTTGCATCCACAGATGCTGCTGCCTTTGCCTGTAGGCACAGACACAGACTGCCTGCTGTCTGGAAAAATCTCCCCCCTCACAAACTCCTCTGCTGAAAATTCCCAACTGCCTTTCGTAAGAGGAACAGATCTCATTTACCAGCCTTCATTTAAATCTAAATTAAACTGATGCTAAAAGTCACTGGGGCTCAGTACTATGTAAATCTCTAGCTTTGTTTTAAAGTTACAAGTGATTTCATTCCTATTTTCCCCTCACTACAAAAAGAAAGGGCCAGCAGTTACTCTGTAGAAAGCTCTGATCACAGTGGAATAGACTCTTGTCCTCAGTTGGGAAGTCTCTTTCCATTTCAGAATTACCACAGGATATCACTGGGGTGTTTTCTTCATTACAAGAAGAGAGCGTGTTCTCTAATTTTTACTTGTTAACCAGATGTGAAATCCCCTCCAGAAAGGCAAATTGGGCTGGTCAGCAGGTCACCTTAAAGAAGCAACATTTCTCTGTCTTTAACTGAGCTGCTGAATGTTATGGCATTGCAGACCTGCATTTTCATTGCTGAGGTTTCACATGGAGCGAATTTTGCTTAAGCACAGTAAAACCCCCCAAAAACTAAACATCACACCCACAGAGCAGGGCACTGGGAAGGAACACCACAGTTGTCAGCTACTCTCTCAGTTAGTTCTTCACATTATCAGCTCAAAATACACACTCCAGTGTAAGATTTCTGTGTGTGCAACTCAGTATTTCAAGTCCAGATGACTGAATTTCAACAGTTCCCAAACATGGCACAACAACAAACCGCATCTTTTTTTCCAAGGACTTCAAAATGCTTCAAAAACATTAATGAGCCCCTTGTGCTGCAAGGTAAGAAGGTTTAATTACCTCAATTAAGCAGAGAAAGGCTTAAGCGATTTTTCCTCATGTACAATAAAGCAAAAGACCTATCCTGCAAAGACTTGTTCCCAAACTGCTGTTGGAAGCAGTCACATCCAAGACCTGGATGCTCCAAACTGGTTCAGAACAAGGCAGCGACCCGGCTCAGGAATCCTGCTCTACCCAGCCAGCAAAGCTGAGCTGCAGCCCATGCAAAACAAAGAGCAACTTATTGATCCCTTATTGGTTAATGATAACACACTGATTAATGACATCAGGAAAAGGTTTTTCACCCAGAGAGTGGTTGGGCACTGAACAGGCTCCCCAGGGCAGTGGTCACAGCACCAAGGCTGTCTGAGCTCAAGAAGCATTTGGACAACGCTCTCAAGCACATGGTGGGATTGTTGGGGTGAGTTGGGTAACTATTCCTGGTTTTCCTTTGGTGCCTGTGAACCAGGGTGGCAGCTGAGCTGTGCTGATGTCTGTGCAGGGCCAGGATTTGGACTCGATGATCCTGATGGATCCAACTCAGCCTATTCTATGATTTTATGATAATACAGTCCAGATAATTCAGTGACTGTTTCAGGTTACGTTTAAGCAACGACACGAACTTGGTCTGTAGGAAATAACACAGCAGGGTATGTGTGGGATAGAGAGAGAAACTCTGTTAGAAATGTGATGTGCCAGGACAAAGCAGTGAATGGATCCAGGGGCTGAGCAAGAAAGTTTCACAGATCTGGGGCTGACCAAGGAAGTTTCACAGCTGTGGAAGCAGGACAGCGCTGGGCTGGTGTCAGCACGGGAGCATGAATCCAGCAGGGAGTCAGTCAACACGGAGGGATAAAAGCAAACAGGAACTTCCAAGGCTGAGTAAGGAGCTGCGGCCGGAGCTGGCTGTGGCTCCCGGTGGGAAGGAGCAGCGCAGGAGCCGCGGCTGTGCCGTGCCCGGGCGGTGCAGAGCTGTGCTGCAGACACTAGAGGCCATCGCTGAGTGCGCCGTGCCCTGCCAAGTGACAGAGCGTGGTAACCATGGTGAGTTTACCCGTTTCTTTGCAGTCTGCATCAAAAATGTAATAAGACATAATGCCATGCGCCGACCACTTTATCAGCAGCAGCAGCAGGCCCTGAGAACAAAGGAAAGGATTTGGCTTGGCCGCAGCACCAGCCTCCACACATCCATGTCAGAAGTTGTGCCAGTCAAACTCAGCTGAAGGAGGGGGGGAAAGGAAAAATCCTTGATTTCACCTCAATTTAAGATGACGCAATCATGAAAATGAAATTAATTGGGGGGGTATTAGTATCTCACAGGGCAACAGACCCTGAGCTTTCTGACCTATCACTTTGTATGTTAACCTCGAGGAGAAGCCCTGGGTCTTGGCTGACTGTTACTCAATTAACCCAAAATTCAGCTGCGTGTCTGAACAGCCTGTATATCTCAGCTTAAAAAAAAAAAAATAAATCACCAGATATTGCTATTATAGCTAGAAAGAAAAATTAGGCCAGGAAGTCTCACAGTCAATACCCAGTCAAAAATCAGTGTGATGATTAGGTATTCACTGGAGAGAAAAAGAGGAGGGGGGATCTAAATCGAGGTTTGCTCTCTCACGTTAAAATGACAATGGAGACAGTTAAGAACTGACAGAATCGAAAAGGGAGTGTGCTTGGTACTGAATTTCACTGACACCCTGTATCACATCCCAAATTGTCTTAGTGCTTGCTGTTGTTTAAAACCTAAATTAATACACATGCTTTCCTCCCTCCACTTTCCTAATTAAATGTACACAAAACCTTGTAGATCCCCATTTATTCTTGTACCAACAATGTCTTTTATTTCTGTATTCAAGCAGAAGACTGCCACAAGCATTTTTCTCACAAAAATATAGTGATTTTCTTGTTAATCAATATTAATCTATATTAATTGAGGGGAGGTACAGCAAATAGAAACGAGATTTTGGTATCCAAATCTCTTCCTTCCAGCCCTCTCTCTGAGCCCAAATTAACACCCTAAGAGACAAAGGATCTCAAATCAATCTTTGCTTGCCTTAACTCCCACTGACCAGGAATCTTGTCATTAATTCCTGATAGGTTTGTAGGGATCCCTTCAGCTTCTTTGCTACTATCTCCAAGCCTAAACAATGACGATCAATTTGCTGATTCAAGTTTTAATTCTTAATTCCCTTACTGCTACTTGCTGGAAAATAACTGGGAAGGCACCTTGCTGAGCACCCTGCAAGGAAGCAGCAGGAGCAGGAACACCAGGACACACTCACCTGATCCACTTCCATCAGATGCATCTACACAGCTCAACTGCCACCCTGTTTCACAGACAGCAAAGGAAAGCCAGGAATAGTCACACAACTCACTGAGTTACTCATGGAGAACTGACTGAGACAAGCCAAGGGCCAATCCCACTGGATTGTGTTTCTCTACTGCCCTATAAAAGGTCCTATAAAACTGCAAAGGCAAACTGCCATTTTACAGACTCTTTCCCCACACGAACATGACAGCGTGTAAGAAGAGATACCTGTACCTGGAGTTTATCCAAGGTACATGGCACAGGCTGTGGAGTCTCAACACTTCTCCCTGTATTTCACAGACCCTTCAAGCTGAGGCTGTTGGCAGCATCAAGGCTGTTGCCATTTTGGTGGCTCGTGGTCATATATAGCCTATATAGCCCAGTATACAGCCCTATATAGCCCAGTACTGGAGGTCATTGCTTCTGCCACACCTGGGGGACTTCATCTGCTTCAGGTGGTGGCAGTTGGTCCTGACCCTATGAGGTACAAGACAACAAGGCTAGAATAGTTTAACTGAGAGGATATAAATTGGTCTGTCCTAAGCTGGACAACTTTGCAAGAAAACACATGAGAAATGCTCCTGTAATCTGCTCTGACAATGCACATTGTGAGGCATCCTCGAGCACCAGGGCAGAGGTAAAGCCTCAACCAGCACAGCCATTTCTGCAGTGCAGATCTCAGCACAGCTGGAGTGCTTTGGCTGACTGCAGGAATATTTTATTCCCGAGCCCTCCACGCACTTTGGTGTAAGTTCAACAAGAACTCCTTGCCATCCATGGACACCACATGTCTACACAAGTATATCCACTGCACAGCCAAGCCACACACTGAATTCTAACAGGACTTGCCAACCCAGAGTGCAAACACACAGCCCCCATTTCCCCCAACCTTCTCATAAATTTTTTAATTTAAAATAATGGACCCTGTTCTCATTTGCACAAAACATTCCTTATAGCACTAGCTGTGAAAAATGTATTTTCACCCACTATTTCTCCTTTAAGCAGCCCTCCTGGAAGAAACAGACCTTTCTTTGAATAAAACTATTTCCTTTTAAAAAAGCGCAGTGCGCAGACACATAAATATGTTCTCAAGAACTGGGACATTCTTTATCAGAACAGCCAGAGGCCTTGCTCTTTTGATCTGTCACACTCTGGGCCTTTCCTCGAGTACTCTTGTGCTATTAAATCTTTCCATGTGGATAATGGTCATGTTTTATGTCTCCTCTTCCTACCCTCCTGTCTTCTTTTTTTATCAGAAAAACAAAAGCCAGTCCCTTGGACTCCCCACCACTCTTCTTTTCCAGCTTAAGCTATTTCTACATGAGCAAGTTATTTGGCACAACAAGGAATAGATCAAAAGATGAAAGCATTTGGTACGTGTACACCACATGTAGTTGGCCTGAGGGGGTATGACTTAAGGTTAGATTTTAGTCTGGTCCCCCAGACTATGGGGGTATGGTTCCAAGCTGTCCAATCTTTGGTTTGGATCCTTGTGTCCCCATTAAAAGGGATGCAGCATCAGCACTGCACAATTGGAGTAGAGCTTCTGGATCATTTTTATCCGAAAGGAATCAAGTTAGCATGGACCAAAACCATTCTGCAACTCAACCAGCATGTGATGGGCGGGGACCATGTGAGGATTTGCTGACTGTGGAAACCACACTGTTGCTCTGAAGTAAAACACTCAGGTAGACAAAGCCAAAAATGCCAGTTTTCTAAATGCCCAAACAAGTCCACCCAAAAATTGCTAATTCTGAAACATGTTTAGCGAGCTTCTTTTCAGACCATTTTCAACTTCTCATGGACTTCCAAGAGATCAGGGATCCAGCAAATTTCAGTTTGAATGAGAGAGGGGAGTATATTTCCTAGAAATTATCTCCTCTGCTCAGGCACGAACACTTTGCTCTCTGTTCTGCCTACAAAGAGTATTCTTTCCAGTACTCCCACTCCAAAAACAACCTCTCAATATGGACAACAATATCAAACAGAAGCTGTCTCTGTAAAGGGCGACAAGCAAGCCACGTGCTCATACAAGTCTGCACTGCAGTGTAATAGCACAAGGACCGGCCTCGTGTGCTGGAACCGCTTCTCAGGAGTGAATGGGACTGGTCCCTCCATCTGTAACCTACGGCCCCAGCCAGGGAAATTATTATGTTTCACCTCTCAGTGAGAATTTGCACTTTTCCCAAGAAGCTGCTGGTTGCTGGGAGGTGTGGCAGGTGCACCCACAGCCCTGCTGGTCCCCAGGTCCAGCAGTGTCTGTTGGACAGGTCACCGCTTGTTCCTGTGGAGCCAAGACACAGCTCCTTCCCTTGTCCCAGCCTGCTGGAATCTGTGCTTCCAGATCCTACAGACAACAGTTTTTATAGCCTTTATTACACAAACAGGATTTTGTCTCAAAACCTGACGTTCCTGCAAGAATGACAATAAAACTAAAGGAAAATCCCAAGTAGTTTCTCCTGCTGTAGCTTCTGGATCTTAAAACTCCTTTTCTCTGACCTGTGCATACTCTGAACAAAATAGGAATGCTGAATATCCACTGAGCCAGAAAACACATGGAAACAGGGCGAAAAACAAACTACAGATCAGTTCACAGCTGGTGTAAATGTCTCTATTCCACTTAAGTCAATGGAGATACACTACTTCACCTCAGCTCAGCAGCTGGTCCCGTACAGAGAAACAGTCAAACAATATGAAACACAAGACAGATGAGGAGGAAACAGCACTTCCTGGGATTCAGCAGGATAAGGAAGAAAACAGAAACAAATCAAAACATGGTTATTAGAAAAGGTAATAAAGGTTCCCCTGCGACACTGCAGGGTCAGGTGAGGCTGGGAAGGCAGAGCCACAGCACTGCAAGTCCCCACCAGAACAACCTTTTGTAGCCCAGGCAGAGAAGGTGCTTGTGCAGGAGATTAAAGGGGCTCCCCAGCATAGGCAGCTTGGATCTGACAGCCTGGGATGCTACAGCCAGAGCCCAATTCCTGAGCTCAGCCCCTCCAGGAAGATGACTAGTAATTCAGACAAAACACTGTAAGCCCAGTGCAGCCACCCTGGGCCAAGTGTCAGCACTGCTCTGGGCATTGGGGAAGAGGAACAGGCACCAAATTCTGCTGTGACAACACTATCTCGTTCCCTCAGCCTGGTGCAAGGCAGAGGAGTCAGCACCCAGATACTTCCAGCATCCTGAGTCACTTGTGGAGCAGCTGCATTTTCCTCACCCACAGTCATCCCCAGATCTGCCGACAACCCACGAAGGCTTCCTCCCCATATTTCCTCCCACACACAGCTCCACTCCCTCTGGACTTCAGTCTAGGACTGGATTCCCAAAACATGCTCCCGTGCAAGAACAGAGCCCAGTCACCCACCAACCACAACTGCTTCATCTCACTGATGTGCAGCTTAAACAGAATTTTGCAGAGTGGCCACTCTCAGCCTAAACTTGAAAGGAGTTTGCTCTGCAGCAAGGACGCAGCTCCGGGAGCTGAGTCGACACTGTCTTCCCAAATACTCCTGCACCAGAAGCCCTGCACTGCAGGGAAGCAGCATTACCTCCCAGAGGAAAATCCCTGTGAGATCCACAGCTGCCCAGAGCCCTCCGTCGGCCGAGACCAAAATATTCAGCATTCATACAGAGAGGCTTCTGCAGGGCTGATTTCAGGCCAAAAGGGACAGATTTCCTGTTTTCCTCTCCTCTGCAGGACGGGGCGGGGGGGTCCTTCACCCCAGGTTTGGAAGCAGACCTAGGATTTATCCCCCTGGCTGGGGGGCATTTAATTTAAGCACAATAGAGAAGCGGTCTCCTCCAAATCAGAATTAAGCTCCAGAAAGGAGGGGGCCATTTGCAGTCATATCACTCTGAATGCGATATGTGCAACTGCAAGGACTGCTTTGTCTAAGTCCCTTGGCCTTAGGCCACGGTGCTGGCAATACCACCAGCTAGAGGAAGAGCTGGTGCGTGAGGATAATGGCAGAAGACAGGGAGGGAAGAGAGAGCCCATTTTGGATTCAGAGGAGGACGTTCTTTCATTGAAAAGATTCTGGGGGTGTTGAGGATGATCCGAACTCAGAAGAGAGGACAACTTAGACAGGAATAGTTCCAGCATGACAGCAAACTGCTGCTAACTTGCCGTTACGAGGCAAAAAGGAGGACTGGGGGGGAAGGGGAAGATAAAACTGCATGAAAGAATCTAAAGCCCTGCTCGCAGCCGGAGCGTTGGAAAGCACCGACACGGCAGCGAGAGGGCTGGAGACAGAAACTTCCCCGCTCGGCTCGCATTGTGCGCGGCATGTCTGAGCCGGGATTTCGCAGTCCCCGCTCGCAGAGCAGCCAGACTCGGATCCCCCCCACAGCATGACCTAATCCCCACCCCTCACCCACCATCGCAAAATACCACCTTTGTTTTCCCTGCAATTTTACGGCTGTTCCGGAGAGCAAGGCACAGGTTCTCGTGGGAGCCGACAGGAGAACGGTTTCCCTTGCTCGGCTTTGTTTTGTTTCTTTTTTATTTTTTTTTCCCCCTCCGGTGACACTTCTGCTTTTTGTCAAAAATCCTCGGCACATCCCCTTCCACAGAGCAGCGCTGGGGCCCACGGCACTCCCCACACACGACCCCGGCACACGGAGCCTTTCCAGCTCACAGCCCCACCGAGCTCAGCTCCACGCAGGATCAAAGTGTCTGAGGCACCGGCACCTCGGCTCATCCGCCAGCTGGCGACGATTCCTTGCAGTAAAATAAGATTGTTGCTCTCCTGGCAGCTAGAACAGAGGTGCATCTCGGTGATCCCTTTCGTTCATCAGCCTCCCAGGATTACAGCCACTAACGGTGCCGTAAAAATCACCCAGGCTGATTTGTCTCCCTCTGAAACCCAACTCCAAAACTTTTTCTCGGGGGAAAAAAAAAAAAATAAAAAAAATCAGCCTGATTTGTGGCTGGGGATGGTCCGATGCCAGCCCTGCAGGCATCGGGAATGGGAGACGGGAATACGGTTTTTCTAAGTCAGAAGCAACTTCTCCATTTTCGTGCCGTTTAATTCGAGCCAACGCGCAGAGATCAGCGAGATCCCCTCCAAATATCCCACAGCGAAGCAATTGCTGCTGCGGCTTTGTTAAGGCTGCACCGACTCGCACACGGGGACCCGATGTACGGAAGCAACCCTCAGCGCCGGCAAAAAACCCCCGCCCGGTGCTTCGGAAACCGGCGGAGGGAAGGGAAAA